TAGGAGGAGGAGCCTAAGGGTGATGTCACTCAGGGGGTGGGGCTACATGATAGCACTGCCCATTGGGGGTGTGGCCTCAAAGGGGTGGAGCTAAGGGACACACCCACCCCAGGACACGCCCACCCTGAACTGGGCGGAGCTAAGATATTTTGGCTGCCCTGGAGGGGGCGGAGCTAAACAATCCCACCTTTAAAGGGGTGGGGCTAATGGTGGCCCCACCCACAAGTGGGAGGGGCGTTGTGCCTGGCCACGCCCGCCGGCCACGCCCACCTTGGCGGCGATCATGTAGGGCGGCACGATGTCGATGTTGAGCTCCTGGAAGAGCTCCCGGCACTGCATGGAGATGAAATCCCCGGCCAGCGGCGACTTGACAATGCCTGCGGGGCGGGGCCGGCTCACCTGGGGCGGCTCACCTGGCCGGGGTGCTCACCTTGCTGCAGGATGTAGCCGTCGTGCACGGGGATGGCCGTGGTGTGCGTGGCGCCCGAGTCCAGCACCAGCCCCGTGCTGCGCCCGTTGGCGAAGCTGCGCCCGCCCGTCAAGGCCACAACGGGGCGGGGACAGCGCCGGACACGCCCCCGGACACGCCCCCAGCCCCGGCCACGCCCCAGGGGTGCGTCATAGGGTGACACTGGGGTGACACTGGGGTGACACAGAGGTGACTTCAAGGTGACCCAGGTGACACAGAGGTGACATTGAGATGATACATGGGGGGACACTCAGGTGACCCTGCAGTGAGCGCGGGTGACACTGAGGTGACACTCAAGTGACACTGAGGTGACACTGAGGTGACACTGTGGTGACCCTGGGGGTGACATGGGGCGACACTGAGGTGACACAGGTGACCCTGAGGTGACACTGACGTGACCCTGAGGTGACCCAGGTGATCCTGAAGTGATCCTGAGGTGATGCAGGTGACATGGGGTGACACTGAGGTGACCCTGGGTGACCCCGGGTGACCCCGGGTGACACAGAGGTGACACAGGTGACACTGAGGTGACCCCAGGTGACACAGAGGTGACACAGGTGATCCTGGGTGAATTGCTCAATTGATATGAAAATGACCCAAAAGTTGCCCAAAATGACCCAAAATGACCCAAAAGTGACCCCTGAGTGACCCCTGAGTGACCTCTGAGTGACCACAACCCCAAAAATCCCCAAAATGAGCCCAAAATGGCCCAAAAAACCCCCAAAAATCCCAGAAATTACCCCAAAATTGCCAAAAATTGGCCAAAAATGACCCAAAATGGCCCAAAATGACCCCAAAATGACCCCGAGTGACCCCTGAGTGACCCCTGAGTGACCTCTGAGTGACCACAACCCCAAAATGTCCCAGAAATGCCCCAAAAATGCCCCAAAAAACCCCAAAAATCCCAAAAATCCCCAAAATGACCCCAAATTTTCCCACAATGACCCTGAGTGACCCCGGGTGACCCCTGGGTGACCCCGGGTGACCCCGGGTGACACAGAGGTGACACAGGTGACACTGAGGTGACCCCAGGTGACACAGAGGTGACACAGGTGATCCTGGGTGACACAGAGGTGACACAGAGGTGACACAGGTGACACAGAGGTGACACAGAGGTGACACAGAGGTGACACAGAGGTGACACAGGTGACCCCGGGCGGCAGGCGCAGGATACGCGGTGAGCACGGCCGTCTTGCAGAGGAAGAAGGCCGGGATGTTGTAGTGCTCGAACATCAGCTCCGTCAGCTTCTCCCGCTTGGCCCGCGTGTTCCACTGCGGGGACACGGGGACACTGGGGACACCGGGACACCGGGACAGCCCGGGGACAGCCCGGGGACAGCCCGGGGACAGCCCGGGGGCACCTACCGGCGCCTCGGACATGAGCACCGGGTGCAGCCCCGGCTCCGACTTGACGTGCTTGCCGTAGGTGTGGTCCAGGATGGCCTGGAAGCACTCCCAGTCCTCGACTGGGACACGGACAGGGCATGTCGGGGACATCGGGGACATCGGGGGGATCGGGGTTGGGGACATCAGGGGAGATCAGGGACATTGGGGACAATGGGGACATGGAGATATTGGGGGCATTGGGGACATTGGGGACATTGAGGGGACATTGGGGATGTTGGGGACATCAGGGGGATCAGGGGGATCAGGGACATTGGGGACATTGGGACATTGGGGACATCAGGGACTTGAGGGCACTGGGGACATTGGGACATGGGGACATTGGGGACATCGGGGACACACGGGCCGGGGCACAGCAGTGACCCCTGAGACCCCCACCCCGCTGCCCTTCCCCGCCAGTGTCCCATGGGGTGACCCAGTGTCCCCCCAATGTCCCCAGTGTGTCCCCAATGTCCCCAATGTGTCCCCAATGTCCCCAGTGTGTCCCCAATGTGTCCCCAATGTCCCCAGTGGTGTCCCCAATGTCCCCAGTGTCCCCGTGCTCACTCATGCCGTTCTTGAGCGGGGACAGGACCTCGACGCCCTCGCGGGCCACGTGCAGCGCGTTGGTGTCGATGTAGTAGACCTTGCCGCCCTTCTTGTCCTTGTCCCCGTCCAGCTCCAGGGACACCTCGTCCGGGGACAGCAGCCCCACCGTGGTGGGGAAATCCGCCTGGGGACAGCGCCGCGGCACGGGCACCGTGGGCACGGTGACATTGCCACTGCCACCGTGGGGACAGCGCCGCGGCACGGGCACCGTGGGCACGGTGACATTGGCACCGCCATGGGGACGGTGGCCTGGGGTGGCCTTGGGGACACGGTGGCCGTGGTGGCAGCATGCTGGGGACACAGTGGCCTCGGTGACAATGCCACCGCCATGGGGACAGCGTGCTGGTGGCACGGTGGCATTGTCACCACCGTGGGGACGTTGGCCATGGGGATGGCATGCTGGGGACACGGTGGCCCTGGGGACACGGTGGCGTTGTCACCGCGCGGGGACAGCACGCTGGGCCTCGCCCGGCCAGGGGGGTGTGACAATGACACTGCGGGGGCGCGCGGGGACGCGGTGGCACCGACCTTGGGGCAGTCCTCGCCGGCATAGGCCGCGCGCATCGAGAAGGAGCCGATGTCGAACACCAGCGCCCCCAATGTGTCCCCAATGTCCCCAGTGTGTCCCCAATGTCCCCAATGTGTCCCCAATGTCCCCAGTGTGTCCCCAATGTCCCCAGTGTGTCCCCAATGTCCCCAGTGTGTCCCCAATGTCCCCAGTGTGTCCCCAATGTCCCCAGTGTGTCCCCAATGTCCCCAGTGTGTCCCCAATGTCCCCAGTGTGTCCCCAATGTCCCCAGTGTGTCCCCAATGTCCCCAGTGTGTCCCCAATGTCCCCAGTGTGTCCCCAATGTGTCCCCAATGTCCCCAGTGGTGTCCCCAATGTCCCCAGTGTCCCCGTGCTCACTCATGCCGTTCTTGAGCGGGGACAGGACCTCGACGCCCTCGCGGGCCACGTGCAGCGCGTTGGTGTCGATGTAGTAGACCTTGCCGCCCTTCTTGTCCTTGTCCCCGTCCAGCTCCAGGGACACCTCGTCCGGGGACAGCAGCCCCACCGTGGTGGGGAAATCCGCCTGGGGACAGCGCCGCGGCACGGGCACCGTGGGCACGGTGACATTGCCACTGCCGCCGTGGGGACAGTGGAATTGTCACCACTGCCATGGGGACAGTGGCATTGGCACCACCGCCATGGGGACGGTGGCATTGGCACCACCATGGGGATAATGGCGTTGTCACCACTGCCATGGGGACGGTGGCCTGGGGTGGCCTTGGGGACACGGTGGCCGTGGTGGCAGCATGCTGGGGACACAGTGGCCTCGGTGACAATGCCACCGCCATGGGGACAGCGTGCTGGTGGCACGGTGGCATTGTCACCACCGTGGGGACACCGTGGCCATGGGGATGGCATGCTGGGGACACGGTGGCCCTGGGGACACGGTGGCATTGTCACCACCGTGGGGACACCGTGGCCATGGGGACGGCATGCTGGGGACACGGTGGCCCTGGGGACACGGTGGCGTTGTCACCGCGCGGGGACAGCACGCTGGGCCTCGGGACAGCAGCCCCACCGTGGTGGGGAAATCCGCCTGGGGACAGCGCCGCGGCACGGGCACCGTGGGCACGGTGACATTGCCACTGCCACCGTGGGGACAGCGCCGCGGCACGGGCACCGTGGGCACGGTGACATTGCCACTGCCACCGTGGGGACAGCGCCGCGGCACGGGCACCGTGGGCACGGTGACATTGCCACTGCCACCGTGGGGACAGCGCCGCGGCACGGGCACCGTGGGCACGGTGACATTGGCACCGCCATGGGGACGGTGGCCTGGGGTGGCCTTGGGGACACGGTGGCCGTGGTGGCAGCATGCTGGGGACACAGTGGCCTCGGTGACAATGCCACCGCCATGGGGACAGCGTGCTGGTGGCACGGTGGCATTGTCACCACCGTGGGGACGTTGGCCATGGGGATGGCATGCTGGGGACACGGTGGCCCTGGGGACACGGTGGCATTGTCACCGCGCGGGGACAGCACGCTGGGCCTCGCCCGGCCGGGGGGGTGTGACAATGACACTGAGGGGGCGCTGGGGACGCGGTGGCACCGACCTTGGGGCAGTCCTCGCCGGCATAGCCCGCGCGCACCGAGAAGGAGCCGATGTCGAACACCAGCGCCCCGACCTCGTCTGCGGAGGGGACGGCGCCGGTGACACCGGGACCCCCGGGGACCCCCCCAAAACCCCCGGGGACCCCCCCCACCCCCGGCGGCCCCGCCCCCTCCC